ATCATCTAATGGATCAAACTGTCGAACAAGCTTTTTAATTAAATTTTCACCTTGTGAACCGTATTCTTCCTTGGGATCAATTCTTTTTCCATCAAAATTTTGCACTTTATTTTTTAATTCAGTCTGTGAACTGCTATTTGTAAAAATGATATTGATAGAAAAATTGAGCATTTCTTTGTCTCTTCTAGGCAAATCCTATTATTGAACAAGTTCAGAATCGCGCGGAAAAATTGGGAACAGTGGTAAAAAAAAGTTGTCTGACAGTTTTTACTAATTGTTTTATGAGATTTTTTGCTTGATATTTTAGATTAATCGAGCTGGTCAACGGGTTGTAAATGAAGCATCAACAGTCAAAAATAATTTAGCATCATTAGATGTACGAAAATTATCTTGATGTTTTTATTAATAAATTTTTTTAAATTATTCTATTATAGATAAATGACGTTATGAGACGAAATGAACAAAAAGGGATTAATTCCGTGAGTGATTATTGAAAACGTGATCATTTTATGCAATCCTTTTGGGCACTATCATGATTTGTTTATTTAGTTAAGTAATGGAAAATCTGATTTACAACAACAACATTTGAGTATTCCAAAACCATTACAAGTAAGTCAATAAAAGAGCGGATGCCTTCTTTCCCATGTGCTTATTATTGTTAAAAGAAAGTAGCGATAGAATTTAGCTTAGTAAATATTTAACTATAATTTATGTAAATTATTATTCTTCGTCGTTTCTTAGTTTATTTAATATTTCGTGTTTTTTTTTTTTTACTTTAGTCTAGTACACCTGATCTTCTAGATGAGAAGTATGTTATTCCGCATTAAAATGTATTTATTTATACTAGTGATACTTTTATATTTTTGAAAGATCAATTCCGTATGAAAGATTTGGTTCAACAGGCAATGTTAATTTTGGCGCGACTTATACGTCTATGCATGAGCCACCCTCTTCAACGTCGGATTCTTCAGGAGCATCTTCACCAGACTTAAAAAGAAAACAAGAAAATCTGATTACAATTGATACTGTAAGTGAAACAAAAATCTATAAAAAATCTATCTCAGTTAGCTAACTCTTCGAAGAATATGTACTTTCATTACAATTTTTAACATTCTAACTGTCAATAACTTAGTCTAAAACGAGAAAATACGCATAGCTTGAAAATTCGAAATATTTGCGCTATTTTAGCCAAAACAGGATATCATTTTGTTTAATTTTAGCAACCACATACTTTAGCGGCGAATACTACCACCACAGCTTTTAATTCATTACTACCGTCACCGGTAGAATTGAACGTAATTAATGTGACAAACAATCGCTCTCTACACCAACAAACTGCTCGTCCTGTCGTTCATAGCAGTATAAAACAATTACAGACTGAATTAAAAAATAAAGTGCAAAATTTTGATGGAAAAAGAATTGATCCCAAGGAAGAATACGGTTCACAAGGTGAAAATTTAATTAAAAAGCTTGTTCGACAGTTTGATCCATTAGATGAT